ATGTATCATCATCTGGGATAGTTCCTTCCCAGTGAACTAACAATTGAGTCACAGCTATACCATTTTTATTGATCAATCTTGTTGATAAGACTTGCATTGCTTTTGCCTGATTCTCCTTACTTTTTTGTTGATTTGGGAGTGCGTAAATTGGGACCTCTCCAATCTTCTTCTTCAACAAGGACACATGAAGGAAAGAATAAATGCTCGATCCTTTAGGTAATGCCAATTGGAAGGCTACTGCTCCTACCTTCTTTATGACCTGATATGGGCCAAAACACCTAGCACTTAGTTTATGGTTAGAACTATGTTCCACTAACTTTTGTGCATACGGGAGTAGCTTCAGAAAAACCCAATCACCTTCTACCAATGACCGTTCTAATATCTTTTTACCAGCATAAAGCTTTACCCTTGTACTTGCTTGTGAAAGCTTTTCCTTTAACTGTTGGTTTAATTTGTATCTTCGAATCTCCACCACTAGCCTTTTTATGTCGATTTTCTGGATAAAAGGATGCCTATAAGGTCTGATTCTGAATGGATGTATTCCCTCAGTCAATGAAATGTTGTGTTCATGTGACCTGGGAGGAGGTAACCCTTTTGGCTTCTCAAAGACCTTAGGAAATTGTTCAATTACCTCTATGATCTTGCCAAGAGTCTCATTTTTGTTATTCTCAATGAGAAAACACAGTTGCCCTACAGCTCCACGGGCTCCCTTGTCAAACATCTTATCTATCTCCTTTATCTTCTTCATCTTAACTGGACTCTCTGATAATTCATTCATGAATTCCACCTCTTCATTGTGGTGTTTGAATCTGATAAATCCCGGTTCAACATGAAAAAGAATAGGGCTAAATTGGCTCAACCAATTTACTCCTAAAACCATATCACTCCCCTCCAATTTCAAGGTTCTTAGATTGAACTGAAATTCCCAGTCATGCACTCTCCATACTAAAGGCTGATAAACAGCTTTACTTTCTATTTTGTCCCTATTAGCTACCCTGATTGTCATCACATTGGCCTCATCAGTGGTATGGTTCAGTTCCTTGATCAACATTTCATCCACAAAGCTGTGGGCACTTTCACTATCAATGAGAATTGATATTTTCCTCCCCTTGATCATCGCAGGAACTCTAATATTTTTATGTTTCAAGCTTCCAGCTAAAGCACTGAATGAAATATCTTCTACAGTTCCTTTGTCAGAAACCTCAATTTCTGAATCATTTAATTCAACAACCTTCTCCTTGTAGTCTATAGCATCAGCCGTTGATACTTCCTCATATTCAAACTTCCCTGTCTCACCTATCTCCAGCTTAATCTCTGTCTCAGCTTTAGCATCAGGTACCTTTGATTCCTCTCTCACAACCACCGTCTCCACTTTTGTGTCAACCACTGGCACCAATTCTTCCCCAAACGTTTTACCAAGTTCTAAATCCCCAACATCAAGAACGGACCCAGCCATTTCACTGCCATCTTCCATTGCTTCATCCCTGTCCACAACAGCAGAATCGTAATGGTTGAACTGATCTATCGAGACTGATTTAGCTCCTATCATATTAGTCAACATTGAAATGATCAATTCATTTTTACTTTCCATTTTTAC